GTGGATTAAGCGTCGACAAGTGATAAACGACATTGTTTGGCCTTTTTGGCAGAATTTCTCTTATACGCTGTTTGTTTTTGCTCTATTCATTCAAACTCATTTTTATTGTGGTTACATTTTTTGTTTTAGAGAGAGAGAGAAAAAAAGCCGCATAAATGTTATCACTAAAACAGTTTAGAATAATACGGATATGAGAATGTGTTAAGTAATAACACAGTATATGTGGCAAGGATTATTATGTGTGTCAGTGTGTTTGTAATAGTAACCGTTAAGCTTCTGCAACTAATGCTTAGTATTCTTGAACCATTTTGTTGTTTAACAAAGTTTTTTTTGATGCATGTATTTTTTTTTGTTTTAACCCAAATTACAAATTTTTAAAAACTAGTTCGTATTTTGTTTATAAATTGCAACAACTATATATGTACATACCAGTGATATGTTACTCAAAATTATGTGAATATTTGCATGTGTGTATGTGTGTATGTAATAAAACAAGAAAAATATGTTTTGCATTATTTGTAAAAGGCACTGGGGTTAAAAAAACTACTTAACATTTAGAATAATTTTGAAATTATATACAGTTGCAGTTAAAGACCTTGGTTGGCTTAAATGTTAAGTAAACATGATTCAGTGTTAAATTAAATTTACATATAGAAATGTACATACTTATGTACATATGTATATTCAAAAGTTATGCCATTACTTTTGCTATTGTTAATTAACTTTAAGATACATTGTTTTCATCTATTGTTCTTTGAAAAATGTATCAATTTATTTAAGTAGTTATTTAAATGTATTCGTTATATTATTCAACTTTTTGTGGCAACTAACAAAATCAGTTGTTAATCTTTATAAATAATCAGCTTAAATACCTTTTGTATGCGTCTCTTGGGTACTTTTTTGTTTGTTGGTAAAATGCGTAACTAATTCAAAACAGGGGGGGGCCAATATCAGGGGCATTCGTGGTCGATCAGCTATTAAGGAGATTAGAAACATTGGGTTTGGAGAGGTTTTTTCTTAGAAAACTTTTTTTTTGACTAATTTCTAATTCTTTGAAAAGTCTTCTTCTTTTATAACACCAAAGTTTTTAAATCTATTAAGTTTTAAAGAAAAAATGTCGTTCCAGGCTCACCTTTAAGTATACCAATTGGTTCATATTAATTTTCTGTATTGAATTAGCTATATCCAACCTATCTCTGTATGTCCGTCCATCCGTCCGTCCGTCTGTCTGTCTGTCTGTCTGTCTGTCTGTCTGTCTGTCTGTCCGTCTGTCTGTCCGCAATTTTGGAAATAATTTGATGAAATTTGAGATTCTTCATTAAATATTTGAATTCGGTTCAGAATCATTTTCTGAATTGATTTAGCGATATCCTACCATCTATCAGTATGTCTGTCCGTCTGTCTGTTTGTCTGTCTGTCTGTCCGTCCATGTAGAACTTGTAATCAAACAACATGTCGCAATTTTCGAAATAATTTGATGAAGTTTTGAGACTCTTTAATAAGTATTTAAATTTAAAGAAGATTCCTTGTAAAATATCCAATTTTGTAGAAAACTTTAACAATTTTGAATAAAATTCTTCGAGAAATTTTTTATTGAAAGGTTTTCAGCTATACTTCGTTGACAAGTTTTATATTTTATAAAAATTTCTACGATATTCTATTTTATAGAAAACTTTTCGATGAGAAAACTTTCTTTAAAATAGAATACACTCTTTATCTAGCAGAACTACAATGTATTTTTTTTAAAGAAAATTCCTTAGAATTTATTTCGCCAACTTATCTAATTTAAAGATAATTAAGTTGCTACTTTGCCCACACCTGCTCCTACAAAGATTTTTATTTGCATGATTACACAAAAACTAAATCAATAAATTTTTTTTGGCTTGATGTTGATGATTTATTTTGCTAAAACGAACTTATTTTCCTACTACTACTTGTTCATGTCAACTTTAACTTTTATACTAAATGTTGAAATTCTATGCCAACCACATGGCATTCGCATAGAACTCAATTGATTTAGTGTCACTAATAAGTTTCAACAAGCTAACTAAGAGTCGAAAGTGTCATAAGGAAAGAAATTTTAATTTATGGTGACATGAATTATGGCTGTTAAATAAGAGTAAAGAAAACATGATAATTGAAAGTCAATAGAGCATAAATAAAGCCTAGTCCAGTAATAGAGTAGAGAATAGTTAAAGACAGCTTAACTTCTAATAATTTTATACATGTGTGCGAACAATTAATAACATTAAAGACTTCATAAAGAAAAAACTTCTCAAATTAATTGAATTTTTAAACAATTATTTCATACAATTATGGTTTACAACTAAATTTAACATACTGATAGATTTTTAGCACTACTGAGCGTATGAGTTTTATTTTTTGTGTATTATAACAAACCCTATTACTCATACGTCCAATTAATTTTAACAATATATATTTTTTTTAGTTTTCTTGTTTTTGGACACTGTTTGTGTTATTTCTCTTGTTGTTTCGGTATGTAACTTTATTTTGTGGTTTTTCAATATGCAAATACATACATATGTATGTGTGTATGTATTTTTGCTGAAAACGTGTTTATTCGTACAGTTTTCGTAATGTTTTTCGGTCTCAATAACTCATAATCATTTATCTTCATTTTTAACAATACTGTCAGAAACTTTTTTTCTTTTTGTGTTTCATATACAAGCAGATAAACGAATATATGCGAATATATTTTACTTTTTTAAACTTTGTTTTTAATTTTGCTTGTGAAATACAATACACTAGTGAAATCCTTTTTTGGCAAGTGGGTTGACGTTTTGTGCAGTGCGAGGGTTGTGCATGAAAATGTTGATATTTAAGATTTTTTGTAATAGTTATACAAAATTTTAACTTAAATAATGAAACTGAATAAATTTAGTTATTATAATATACAATGCTCTTTAGGATTATTTCAATATCTGAAACATTATTTATAGCCCTCGTATTTGGATTTTTTCTTTATTTTATTTGCATGTCAAAATGTAAATATTTCATCATAGTTGCGTTTGAATGTATGTAAATATATGAATATTTTATGAAATGCATACATAAACAGTGAGTAACAAAATAGTTTTTTAAAAAAGGAAATTAATTTCTATGAATTAAGTGAAGGTCACCAGAAACATTTTTAAGAATGTCGTCCTTTTAATTTTATTGGAAATGACTCGTAAATAACCGTTTGTGACATCTAAAATTAGAAAAAAAATTTTGGACAAGTTTTCAATTCTATATAAAAATGTTTAATATGTTTTTGATTCTATAGAAAATTATAAATGTATAAATACATATATAGAAATATATTTCACAGTTTTCTATTATATTAAAAACTGGTCGACAAACATGGACTTGGACATGACATGTGGTTTCAACGGTATTCTATTGAAAACTGGTTGATAAGTTTTCCATTGTTTCTTTAATTTACTATATTCGACAAGTTTTCTATTCTAAGAAAACTGTTCGACAAGTTTTTTATTCTATAGAAAGATGTTCGACAAGTTTTCTCTTCTGTTAAAACTGTTCGACGAGTTTTTCATTCTATTGAAAACTGTTCGAAAATTTTAGTTTTTTATAAAGGGATATTCGGCAAATTTTCGAATATTTCTTTTATTAACTACATATTTAAGATAAAATTACGTTAAAATATTCGACAAATTTTCTTTTCTGAAGAAAACTGCTCGAAAATTCTCTATTCTATATGAAACTAATCGACAAGTTTTCTATTTTATTGAAAACATTCTATTGAAAACTGGTCGACAAGTTTTTTAAATCTATAAAAAGATGTTCTACAAGTTTTCTCTTCTGTTAAAAACTGGTCGAAAATTTTGTTTTTTTATAAAGAGATATTCGACAAATTTTCCAATATTTCTTTTATTAACTATTTAAGGTAAAATTACGTTAAAATATTCGACAAATTTTCTATTCTGTAGAAAACTGATCGACAAGTTCTCTATTCTATATGAAACTGATCGACAGGTTTTCTATTCTAAAAAAAAAAATCGTCAAGTTTTCCGTTCTTTCTGTTTGTTACTACTCTATACAAAATTCATTAAAATGTTTTCGATTCTTCAGAAAAATTTTCGACAAGTTTTCTTTTCCATATAAAGATGTTCGACGAGTTTTTTATTCAATAGAAAGATGTTTACTGACAACTGGTTAACAACTTTTATATTCTATAGCAATATATTCTACAAGTTGTCTGTTCTATTAAAACTGGTCGACAAGTTTTTTATTCCATAGAGAGAATTTTAGACAAATTTTCCAATCTTTCTTTTGTTGGCTATTTAATATAAAAAAAAAAAAATACAAAAAATATTCAAAAAAAATTTCCATTCTGTAGAAAACTGCTCGATAAGTTTTCTATAAAAGGTGTTCGAGAAGTTGGCTATTCGACAAGTTTTTTATTCTGTAAAAAGATGTTCGGAAAGTTTCCCTTTCTCTTTGTAGTTTGCAACCTTATACAAAACTCATTGAATTGTTTTCGATTATTTTTAATATAGAAAGAAATTCGAGAAGTTTTCTTTTCTATAGAAAGAAGTTCGACAAGTTTTCTTTTCTATAGAAAGATGTTCGACAAGTTTTCCATTTTATAGATAGATGTTCGTTAAGTATTTCGTTATAATCTATTCTATAGAAAACTGTTAAGCGAGTTGTTATGCAAATTTTCTATTGTATGAAAAACTCTTCGACTAGTTTTCTTTTTTTAAGAAAACTTTTTTGAAAGTTTACAATTCAATGGAAAAATATTCGACAAGTTTTCTTTTCGACTAAAAACTGTTTGACCATAAAGGTTTCTCCTAAAAAATGGAGATTATTCTATTTGGCTAAGTTTTGCTTTTCACTGTTAATTGGAATTCTCGTGTGAACATTTTCTAGTTTTCTTTTTTTATTGTAATTTTTTTCTGTTTAAAAAAATTTTATATTTTTTTATTTTTTCATACATAGTTGTAATAGTTGAATTTTGTTTTTCTTTTTCATAGTATGGAACGTGATCTGATGACACGCACTGACAGATTCGGTGTTGAGGTACGTGAACGTACCATGTGGGATATACGTGATGGTGTGGTTGGTGCTGAAACTTTTGTACCCAAACATGTTGTTATCACAACATGGAAAAATGTATCATTTGCTGGTGGTATTGATAATTCTTTATTTACGGTAAGTGGCATGAATAAATGAATGAAGAATTCTGAAGTTATATATATATATATATATAAACAAATATGTAGATCGAATTTGTTTGGTGGTATTGATATTAAGAAAAAAATTGTATTAGAATTTTAGCTTATTATTGGAACAGGTTTTGTTTGCACATTTTTGTATTTAATTTTTTTTGTGGGGAGGGGGGTGAATTATTGGCTTTTGTTGCAAACTATATGATTTATGTTTAGAGCTTATGCATAAATTATAGAAAATTTTGGAAATTGTGTCTTTTTCAAATGTTTTTAAGATACGTGGTCATTTGGCATGTACGTGTGTAATTTAGTAATTTGTTTTAATGTGTTTGATTAAAGAAATATGCATGTAACCACTATTAATTCAAAATAACGCTTCTAGATCAAATTTATTAAATACTCTTTGTCTTTATTAAATTTTTAAAACGATTTAGTTATGTATGTCCTTCCATTTCTTGAATATAGAGGATCAGAAAAGTTTGTTATAAAAATTAACATTCATCTGCCATTTAAATGCAATAAATACCAAAGAGTTTATATAAAAAAATTGCTTTTAAAATATAAAAAAAAAATATTTTTTGGCTCACAGTGCGTATGATTAATATTTAATAAGCTAATAATTACATATTTATTATACGTGCAGTTAACTTTATTAAATAACTATTTTAATAATTTCATTAATAACATTTTTTAAATACTTTAATATAATTTAATGCCGCATATTTAAAATATTTATTAATATTTTATACATTTTTTTTCTCTAGACCAATACTTTCCAAATGGTTTTAGCCACTGATGAAGTCTACACTTATGCTATTTTCAATTATGATGTCATTAACTGGTCTGCCCATACAGAAGCTGGTGGTGATACCACCCATGGTGAGGGCGGTGTTCCTGCATTCGTAAGTAGTTTTGTTTTATTGTGTATTATTTTTGCTGTAAATTTCTTTGTTGAGGTTTTTGTTAAAATCGTTTTTTTGTAAAAGTTTTTACGGATGTTTCGCAAAAAGGTTGTATTTATTTTAGTTTTTAGGTTTTTTTTCTCGGCTAGGAATAAAATTTAATCTTCTTAATAGTTTAAGTCATTCTATGCTGCTAGTAGTTGGTTTGAAGGAAACTAAGTTATCAACAAGGTTGTGTGAGTCTGTTGGCGTTTTATATTTCTTTTTTGTTGTAGAAATCTAATTTAACTTTTCGTGATTCTAATCACGTTTTTTTACTTAGTAAAAGAGAAATTATATATGCTAGTGCACTTTATTTTATACTTTAACCAAATTTTTTGTGTGTTTTTGTTTGTTATGGAGTTGTTGCTGTTGTTATTTGCTTTAGGTTAAAGTCACAACATACAACATCGTCATCAACAACATCAACACAAACGGTAATAGATGTTTAAGCATAAGGTGGCCAATTTAGTTGAGGATTCGAGGAAAATAAGAAATGTACTAGAATTGTGGCATCTGGTCAACCTGACTCTAGCATATTAACACACATGTTATTTGTTTCTCCCACCTACAACCATATTTCTTTATAATCACTTTAGTATTTTTGCAATATTTTCAAATTAAAGCCAGTAACTTTTTAATTTGATGTTTGTGAATGTGTTTGTAAGTGTGTGTGTTTTATGTTTATCTATGCAACACAAACAAAACGTGAGTTTCATAAAATAAAACTTTAACACATTTAAATTGTTCTTCCAATAATGTGTGTTACTTAGTTATTAAAATATTTACTAGATTAAACTTTGACCTACTAGTGAGAAAAACCTAAAAAATACAACTATTTCAATCTGTCCAAATTTTTATTCCTTAGAAATATTATGAACCTCACTCACAGAATATGTGGTGACAGTTTAAAGCTTAATTT